GCAGAAGCTTTATTTACCTTTGCTGAATTTCAGTGTTGCTTCAGAAAAATCCTCTTCTTTGTAGTTGAATCCAGCAGCTGCTCCGAGCATTTCTGCCATTTGAAGCCTGTGCTGGGAGCCAGCTGTGACCAGAGGAACAGCTCCAGCCATCCGGGTAAGTTGGATGGCAGCTGTGCCCACACCACTTGCTCCTGCATGGATTAGCACAGAGTCTCCAGCCTGAACATTTCCTGCAACAGAAAGTACAGGAACCATCTTCTTTGCTTTGCAGCTGCTACACATTCTCCACATAGGCTTATTCTACCATGATCACCTGGCCCTGGGACCACCAAATATCAAATCTCTGGCTGTTTTGAGAGAACATATTGACTTTTTGTCTTAACTGCCTCTGGTCAAAGTGGGAAACGACTTTTGGAAACAGTTATTAGCAGCCACATCCATAATCTCTGTTTTACCTGTGAAATAATAACAAAACATATCTCTGACCTATACTTGAATGAGTAAGAATAACCACCATTCCCGCTGTCACTACCTGAAGCCAGCCCCTCTTCAGTCTGAAACTGGCCTCCAGCTGGTCTCACAAATCCAGGCACCACACACAGCCACCAGGCTCCTCCTGAAATGGAGCTTTCATTATGTCACTTTCTCCTCAAAATGTCAAGTCGTTCTTGATTGGCTTTCGTGTCAAGTCCAAATAGCCTGCCATTCAAGGCCACCACAATCTAGTCCCAGTCTCATCTTTCATAAATTACAGTTGTCATCCTTCACTTCTGAGTGAAGCAGCTGATCTCACTTTGACCCTCTTAGGCCACCTTGGTATGCCATCTGTCCATCACAGCTCTACCACCCTTCAAGGCCTTCAGTTCCAGAAAGCCTTCTCGGACCCCCTTTGTCCACACCAACTTTTCCCATCTTGAGCTTCTGTTGTAGTTAGAGACAGGGCCACCCTTCCAAACACTGTGGTTGTCTTGCCAGTTACACTGAGTTCCCCAAAGCCAGGGACCCTCATGTAAGCTCTTAGCTGGCCTCAGTGGGATTGGGGAGGAATTAAAGAGTTGATTGAATGGCTCCTTCTTTTGTGCTAGGGCTCTCAGAGAGAAGCTTAGCCTGACTGACAAGCTGGGACTACTGCTGGGCTTACAGTGTGAAGATGTGCACAGGCCTTTCATCCAGCGCTTTCCAGGTTTTCTATGTGCTAACCATGATCTTCAGCCTCAGTATTGCTGCACAGTATGAGGACCTGATACTACTGATGGTACAGTAGGCCGAGGTGCTGGGGTTGGGTGTTGCTCAGTGGCCAGATCAAAGCTGCCCTGCAGGACTGCTGGGTTCTGAGGTGGCTGAGTCATGAAGAAATTGAACCATGCTGTATGGAGTAAGCATGAGGTAGGGTGAGGTGGTCCTTACCCAAGAGACATAACAGCTGGGAGGCGGTGAGCTAGGCCTCTGGGATGGCGGCAGCCTGGGGCATGGTCAGTCCTGCTGGGATGGGCATGAGGAGCCCTTCAGGGACAGTGACATACTGGCCCCCGCTAGGCAGCAGAACTATGGCTGGGTCCCCAATCTTTCAGTGTCCCTGGCAGCCAGGCCCCTGCTCTGCCACGTATCCAGATGCCTCGAGTCCCCAAATGTTGCTGGCTCCTGGGAGTGGGGCATACTGGCTTTGTCTCTGCAGAGAAAGGGTGCACTAAGTAGTAAACATGATCAGAGATCTGTGTGTCACCGTCCCTGGCCCTCTTCCCATAGCCCCTTCTTTTTTTCAAGACAAAGTTCAGGGTAAAGTTAGTTTTGTTTTTTTTTTTGCGGTACGCGGGCCTCTCACTGTCGCGGCCTCTCCCGCTGTGGAGCACAGGCTCCGGACGCGCAGGCTCAGTGGCCATGGCCCCCGGGCCCAGCCGCTCCGCAGCATGTGGGATCCTCCCGGACTGGGGCACGAACCCGTGTCCCCTGCATCAGCAGGCGGACTCTCAACCACTGCGCCACCAGGGAAGCCCTAAAGTTAGGTTTTTTAATTCAAGAAAAAAGAGAGGAGAGGTGATTTGTTTCATGCAAATAAGAGACTGTAGGTCCCATAATCAGTGGATGTCTAACTGGTAGAGTCCTTAGCTATTTCTCTCATCTAAACCCCTTGTTTTACAAATGAAGAAACTGAGACCTGGGCAGGGAAATGCCTCGTCCAAGGTGGCAAAGCAAATTAATAGCAAGACTGGGGATAAAACCGTGGACTCCTTTTCAATTTAATTAAATTAATTTTTTAATACAGCAGATTCTTATTATCTATTTTATACATATTAGTGTATACATGTCAACCCCAATCTCCCAATTCATCCCACCACCACCCCGGCCCCCTCCCCCAACCCCATAGCTTTCCCCCCTTGGTGTCCATACATTTGTTCTTTACATCTGTGTCTATTTCTGCCTTGCAAACCAAACTGTGGACTCCTTAATGATAGTTCTGATATATCAAGTGCCAGGCTCTGTACTCGATCAACACAGTCCTCAGAAGCCTTCAACCAGATGCTTGAGACCAGAGGGACTGAACTAGGAGTGTGCATTTGAACCATTTGAGGAGCCTTTTCAAAGTACACGTGCCTGGGTCCTGGTCCTATTTATTTTGAATAAGTGCCTCCTGTGATTCTGGTGTACATTTCGTAATTCAAAAATGCAGCTGGCCTAGTTTAGTGCTTCAAAAAGAAATCAGAAGAAAATTCTTAGAGTACTGGCCCCTGCCAGCTCTGGGACCCTCAGAGTGGAAAGAATACAGACTTTGGAGCCTTAAGACAAAGACCTCAATTTGAGTCACAGTTCCCCTGGTTACTAGTGTGTGCCCTTGGCGGGGCTTCCCTGGTGGCGCAGTGGTTAAGAATCCGCCTGCCAATGCAGGGGATACGGGTTCGAGCGCTGGTCCGGGAAGATCCCACATGCCGTGGAGCAGCTAAGCTTGTGTGCCACAACTACTGAGCCTGCTCTCTAAAGCCCGCAAGCCACAACTACTGAAGCCCGTGTGCCTGGAGGCTGTGCTCCACAATAAGAGAAGCCACCGCAATGAGAAGCCCGCCCACCGCCACTAAGAGTAGCCCCCACTGGCCAGAACTAGAGAAAACCTGAGCGCAGCAACGAAGACCCAACGCAGCTAAAAATAAATAAATTAGTGTGTGGCCTTGGGCTCATTGCTGAACCTCTCTGACCCTCAGTTTCTTTATCTGTCGAATACAAATGGTGAACAGGGCTGCCTGAGGAGTAAAGGAGATAGAGCAAGGTGTAACACTCATGGACACACACACACACACACGCACGCACACACACACACACACACACACACACGCGCGCGCGCGCGCGCGCGCGCGCTCAGCAAATGGTAGTTCCAGTCTCCTTATCTGGAAACCTGAGCAGACAAACAGCCGTATTTTGTGTAAACAACGGAGGCTAAGTGGTTCCAGTTTCAGAACCCCCAGCACGCACATCCTGATGAGCATTAATGGTAGTGCTTTCCTTCATCTTTCCTTCATCTGGTGAATGTTTATTTTTATTTATTTATTTTTGCGGTACGCGGGCCTCTCACCGTTGTGGCCTCTCCCGTTGTGGGGCACAGGCTCCGGACGCGCAGGCTTAGCGGCCATGGCTCACGGGCGTAGCCGCTACGCGGCTTGTGGGATCTTCCCGGACCGGGGCACGAACCCGTGTCCCCTGCATCGGCAGGCGGACTCTCAACCACTGCGCCACCAGGGAAGTCCCTGGTGAAGGTTTATTGAAGAACCTGGAGTCCCGCCCAGTCCCAGCCGCTGCCAGACCCCTGGGTACCTGGAGTAAGTCCGCCCGGTTCAGGGCGCTGGCCGCCACCTTCAGGAGGACTTCACCCTCCCCTGGGCTTGGCTTGGCCACTTCCTTCAAGTAAAGGTTTTCTGGTCCTCCGGGCTTATCAAAGGGCACAGCTAACATGTTCTCTGAGGACACAGGGTAGACCGAGGTTCTTTGAGGGGCGCAGCGACCCCTGCCGGCCAGTGGCCTCCCTCAGTCCGTACGGCCCCAACACCCTGAGCTCCTTCTCGCGGGGCCCCTGCAGCCTCCGAACCGACCCCACGCGGAGGACACAGACTGGGACGAAGTGCAGAGAGGATGGCCGTGCGGGTTGGCTGCGGCGGAGCAGGAAGACACTGAAGAGC